GTATTATGTAAATTAAAATAATTTTGATTCAGTAATTGTATTTTTTATAACATTGTTGTCACTGTCAACAGATTGTCTAACGAACTTTAGTTAATACAGTATACAGTTACAGATACAGTATACAGATTCCTGGTGCTGAAACTGCCCACTAAATCTGTAAATTATAGGTTTAGGGGGGTTTGGTTAACAACCCCCCCCCCCCCAAAAAAAAAACTTAAGATCTGAAAATATTTCCAGGCTGCAGTGACTATTGACTGGTGAATACAGTTGTAGTAGCCTAATCTGGGAGATGCATTGGTGCAAATGAGGATTGTTTTGCTTGCCAAAAATCTGATCAGCCGGTTCACAGCATAGGCTCCACCTGCCCCAGCAAACAATGTTGGAGACGCCCTAGGGGCGGATTTAGGATAGATGCAAGATCACTGAATCAATTCATGCATCCTAGTTTGCTGTCCGTCCGACATCAACATTTTTTGGTTTACATTCTTGTTCGCATATTTTATGCAATGCTTGTCAATAAAAGTACAGTATTGCTACCGCTATTCCATATTGAAGTGCACATTCAAATTCAAAATTCACATCAAAACAATCATGTCATTTCAAATTTTTTATTTCTACTCAAATACAGTATTTACATTCAGACATGTACAGTGGAACCTAGATTTTATACAAATACAAATTTAATATATTTTAAATCTCCATAGATGTATTATTTTAATGGCTAGATAGTGAACTTCCATGGAAGCGCCTTCTATTGAATGATATGTCCGGAATCAACTTGTGTTATGTTTTATCAATGTTACTACGATGAAATTGCGCCCCCAATCTTTCATAACAGTTTCAGACTTATCAACAGAATTAAATTTAATTAAAAAATGTAAAAACATTGACAAAAACAAAATATATTTAATACACGTAAATAATCTGTATGACAAAAAATGTTAAAAATACAATACAATTATAAAACTGTTTTTATTATTTGACTTGCAAGTTTGTGACGATGGCTGATGAATATCAATAGTAGGCGCCTATACAGGATTACAATTCTACAGTGTCAAGTTCACTATCTAGCCGTAAATTATACATCTCCAAAAACCCCATTTTGATCCATTACAGTATGCTAAATCGAGGTTCCATTGTAAGTATGGTTGCCGGAGGTGAATGGAAGCACCCGTCCTCAGAATTTTCCACCAACTTTAAAGCTATTAACCCAGCCTACAGTAAATTCAGCATCTGGCCAACCTTAATTTATGAAAAATGTAGAAATTTCTGTTCCTGATCATTTTCCACCCACCCTAAAAATGTTTCACGCAACCCTTAGATTTTTCAAACAATATCCATATACGTTCTAAATTTCAGTATGGGTTGTTGGTGATGTACTGCACGAGAGTAGTGCGAATTTCATTTTCGTTTTCGATTTCCTCATCTGGATGATATTCATTACCTGGCTGTTCGACATCAAAATTGTTATATTCCTCATAGTCCATGTTCCAGACCTCGCAGAAGTTATGCAAGACAATACATGACGCAACGACTATATGTATTTTATCTGCTTGCGAGTCATTTCGTTTCATTATTGATCGCCAACGTCCTTCTAATCTGCCAAAGGAATGCTCCACCAAAATTCGTGTGCGACTGAGCCTTTCATTGAAATGTTTTAGCGCTGCAGTTGCCAGTCCTTCCGCATAGGGTTTCATAAGAAACGTAGACAGCCCATAGGCTGAATCCCCTAGGATAACAATTGGTACTTCTTTTCCTTCAATTGTTTTAGTAAATGGAGGATAGAATGTGCCAGATGATAATTTCCTATACAGTTTTGATATTTCAAACACATAGGCATCGTGGCACTTTCCTGGCTGCCCTACGTCAAAATCAATGAATTTGTAATCGTGGTCAACAAGACCTTGTAGAAGGATACTGTACCAACCTTTTCTATTGTAGTAGTCAGTGTGGTACAGTCTGGGCGCTATGATAGGGATATGACATCCGTCGATTGCTGCACCGCACATGGGAAAGCCATACTTAAGTTCAAATATTTGTAGCATACGTTTAATATCACCACCCTTGGGCCGCTTGACATAGAGGGGTTTTAAGTAGGTACATATCGCTCTACACACATCCCAAAATGCATCGTAGGCAGTGGTACGGCCAACACCGAAAAGATTTCCTATAGTCCGAAAACACTCACCAGTGGCAAGGCGATAAACAGTAATGGCGACTAACTTAACCACACTAACTGGCCGTCTCATCTGTGTGTTCATTCTTTCGATGTATGGATTCAGCTGATTACAGAGTAACTGGAACGGTCTCCTGGTCATCCTGAAATTTTCATACCATTGCACATCATCGTATTGCATAAGGCAATCAATGGTCCACCACTGATGGCTGCGATTCCTTGTCCACACAGTCACTGTAGGTGCATACATAGCATTCACTACAAATCAAAGAAAAATAAAAACAACTTTGACTTTTATGTATATATAAAATAATGTTTGCCATCCATGCAATTATGTAAATGTAAACAAATGTTATATAATATCCATACAAGGATGCACATCTCTTTGCAGCAAATATGGCGGATTTTCCACCCCTTGGAAAGTAAAGTATATATTATTTAAAATTGTCTATAGAGAATGAAAAATATTCAACAATTATAAGACAAAAATTGATCCCTTAACACACCCCTGGGGCCATTTACTGTAATGTGTTTTTTTTTTATTTGTAAATTGTTTTTGTAGTTAAAAATATTTTTCTATTGTTGACAATAAAACCCAAAAGGGACCAAATATTTGTTTTAAATCACATTTAAAATATATGGACATGGTTAAAACAAAAACAAAATGTTGTTAGAGAAGGGATAAAAAATATCTCATTTATTGACATGACATGACGATGTCCCCCAAACCACACTATTTCCATGACGATGTCCTCCAAACCACACTATTACCCTCCAAACCACCTCTCTGAGTGTTAAGACGATCGGGCCCACGGACGACTGGGCCCAGTTTAATTGGGCCCGATCGACTTGGCGTCGGTCGTCGCTGGGCCCCATTATATTTTTAATTTTAGTGATATGTGGGTCGACAGAAGCTATAGCTATATGCCCTAGCCCTAGGATATTAAAAATCGGTAATACTATACGTTAAATTAGTAAACAATATTTAAAAAAAAATCACGAAGCCCAGTAATTAGAACTGCTATATTGAAGATTGCCTCAGATTGGCTACGTTGACGCTCACGTACGACAGATCGTAACAAGCTAAACCGCCGGGTTCTCATTCTTGTTGTGACAGTGTTTTTTTGGACTAGGCCCACATCATGTTGTATTTGTTGATAATCGCGATGGATTGTCTCACCACTTATTAATGCTCCATATATATCGGCCATTGAAACAAACCGAGTAAACAAGTGAAAAAAAAATGACAAAATTACTCAAAATCAAGACACTAGCAAACACGCGCGAAATGAATCAAGATGTTTGTGTGTGACGTTTTATTCTAGGTCACAGCTCATGCGTAATTGCCTGACAGCCTGAGGAAGGTCATTCACTGTGATGACTTGGGAAGTTTACCCGACTCGCGCTGTTCGCATTGGACTTTCCTGCTAGGTAAAACTAACCTGGTCAGTTTTCCTGGGCAAGCGGGACTCGGTTAAATTAACCGCGCGGCTTGGGTAAGTTTCCTGTCAGGTAAACTTCCTGTGCTGTTCGCACTGGACTAATTATGGTAAAACTAACCAACCAAAAAAAGTCCAGTGCGATTGTGGCTTTAGACCAAACCATTGTGTGCCCGGTGAAGCTTATTATAATAGTATTTAAACATGTGATTATAACGGTTATAGTGCATGTGTTTGAATATTAATATAATATTTAAACATGTTTATTATAACGGTTAATACACATGTTTAAATGTTGTAATGTTTAGGCATGTGTATTTATAGTTATATAATAAAATGAATACCCTGCATCAAAATGGATGGTTCTAAATCGCACACGACTCAAGCACATGGGCTTCTCGTTCGTTCGTGACGTTGTGCCATGGCCGTGAGAGCGAGTAATCGTCTGTAGATCGTATGAATGAAGATACAGACTATCAGTTATAAAATCAATTTAGCATTGATTTTAATACATGACGAGTTATTCTCTGTTCCTAAATTCTAACTGTCAACTAAATATTCATCGCTCGATTCGGAGGCCCTATAAAATAGAGATTTACTACTTTCTGAGCCTAGATTGAAATACATCAGCTGTAAGCTGTAGAATAGCCCCTGGATAGCCGGGAATGTGAGTAAACATTGCTGTTGTACGCCACACGATCATAAAATAAATAGAATAGGCTAGAAAGAATCGTATTCTTATATTTATTTAGGTGATAAACACCAATACACCATGTCATTTTCAATACATATGTGTATTGAAAATGACCAAAATTACCATCTTTGTTTTTTTTAGAACTAATAAAATATTGATGCATCTTTCTGGCTAATATTCTCCCGATCGTCACGGTTTTCCGTTCGCGAAATTCGTGAAAATAATTAAGTACAGCTACTGTCTTTTTTCATTATGGTCGGATTTTGGTTTAAAACATTTTATGTTTTAAATAATAACATTAGATTTAGAAATTGTGTATACTTTCTGAAATTTGACCATGATTGGAGCAGTACTGGCTCAACTGTGTCCGATTTTCTCCTACTACCAAGGTCTTGTTTACTCATTGTGAAGGCCGTTTAGGCAGCATGCAGGCAATTAACAATCAATCATCCAACCCACCAGTGACCGTTTCTTCTAAGGGGAAGAATTTCGTCATGCATAAATTCAATGGTCCATTTTTCCGATATTGTCTTGGTGGTCATAATTGAAAATGGCTGCCAAATTCTTAGTGAAATATCCATAATTGCTCTATTAGATTAGGTATTAACATAATTTAGGTACCAAACTTTATGCAATGAAAGTCAATCTGTCCAATGGTGATAGTTTCACAGATCATAAATGGCGGCAATCTCGAATTTTAAAATGGCTGCAAGTTTCACAGTGATTTAGCAATAACTTTGCTAATTGAGTAGGTCAACATGATTTTGGTAGTCAAACCTGATGTTTTCAGTGTCAACCTGTCCAATGGTAAAATTCACATGGATCATAAAAGTTTGCCATTTTGAAGTCCAAAATGAGCAAAAACAATTAAAAATAAACTGCTTATTCTTATGCAAAACAGTAACAATTATTCTTCGCTAAAACTTCATTGCAAACCTATCAACAAATGTACCTAGAAATGGTGATATTCATACCCGTATGGTGGATTGAACCAGATGATGTTGCGTTTGCGGTTGCGGTATATATCTGTCTCTTATACATGGCAAGCTTCTCTGATATACATAGGTCGCATCGTTTCGTCTTGTTGTTGAATGCCTGGGCTTTGGTGATGATAGACCAAGAGATGGTGAATGGTTTATTTTTCTTTTTGAGTTCCCATATGTATCTGGAGAGTTCGGTGCTGTGTTGGTGTTTCTCCCTCTTGAACGATTGTGTGTGGTTGTAGTATCTGGATTTGAAGGGTGGCTCTGTCAGTCCGATGTAAACTTTAGGGTCGTCTTCGTTGGTCTTTTCCACTTTTGCTTATAGATGATGTTAGAGGCCAGGCAATTTCCTTGGAGTGGGCATTGCTCTTTGTTTCGGCAGTTGCAGGTTCTGTGGTCCAGATCGGGTTTGTTGTGGTTCGAAGCAGTTTTTGCGTTGTGAGATTTTTTTCTATAGCACCATTCGTTTATATCTATGATGATGAGGATGATGAGGGTGATTAGGATGATAGGGTTCTCCTTTGGGAAGTTCTTATCTATGAGTTTAAGGAAGGATCTGCCGATGTTGGTGGAGACATTCTTGCTGTATGGTGGATTGAACCAGATGATGTTGCGTTTGCGGTTGCGTGTTCTTTTGGAGCGATTTTCTGGAGTGGAGGATTATGTCGGTTTCTTGTTGGGAGATTCTGACGTGATTCCTGGCGAATGCTATGGCTTTTTTGAGCAAGTTTTCGGTGATTGAGGGGTAGAAGTCCACAATGTCGAAGGATATGAAGGTGTGTTTATCCTTGTTCTCGATCTTGTTGAACCATTCTATGACTGAAGTTGAGTTTTTCCATTGGTTGACGAGGGTGGCGCTTCCGGTGGTTCTGTTGATGTTATCGAGGATGGTTTTGCTGATGAGGCCGATTTCGCTTTTTGCCGGGTTTATGAGTCTGCAGGGTAGTTTGTTGGTGAAGTTTTCCTTGTGGTCTTTCAGGCTGATGAATGCTTGGTTTTTAGCTATGGTGTTCATTCGGTCGGCTATACCAAGTCTATGGGCGATGCTGAGTGCTTCCGCGTTGATGTTATTGACGGTCGCCAGCTCAGTTGTTTTGTAGGTCTTGGTGATGTTATCCCTCAGTAGCTTTCTATGTCGGTCGTAGTCCATTTCGTAGAGGTTTCGAGTTTTGTCTGCTGGGATGAACATAGATTTGGAGTTTTTTACCTTTTTGATGTCGGAGTTCAGGGTGTTTTGGAAAGAGTCATTTACTTTCTTGAAGGTTACGTTCTCTATTAGTCTTAGCATGTCGTCTTCGAATTATTTCATTTCGGTGATTTGTGGAGGGCATCGTTTGCTTTTAAGTCCGTAGTTGTCTTTAGTGTTGTCGGTGTCGTCGTAGTCGGAGTCGTTGCTGCGTCCGTTTAGTGAGAAAAATGCTTTCCATCTCATGCGTTTAAGAAGGCTTTCCACTTTTTCGATGAGTTTCTTCTTGTAAGCATTGGCTGTTATATATATATATATATATATATAGGCATAACATTTAACATCCGCTTAGATGAACATAAAAATTAGGTTAAAGAAATATATAAATGAAGTGGTACAATTTATGCCACGGATCCGATCAGTTAAGGAAAAGCACAGAAGAACGCATCATCCACCGACTTGGCACTCTGGCTCCACATGGACTTGATGTGACTTTAAATCATTTAAATTATAATTTTGATATTGCTCATCTGGTGTTACGCATTATCCATTTACCTGGTATTTATTTATTTCACCCCTTATATGTATATATTCGGTTATTATATTATATTATTAAGTTTAGAAA